CACATTGCGTACAAACATGCAACATGGCAAATTCCACAAATAAAGAAAATATTCTGTATAAGCCCTTCAGCATACACACATACATACTCGTATTTCAGCACATTAGGGGTACATTGTTTATGATCTCGTTGCAAGTTGCGGATTGCTGGTTGCAGGTTGCATTCGTGCACCGATTTAGCCTTAGTCGCTCTCCCTCTCTCTCTCTCTCTCTCTCTCTCTCTCTCTCTCTCTCTGCATGCACGACAATTATCTAATTTATATAAGTTCATTTATCAAAAACTAAACAAATAAGCAGTTTCCTCAGAACTGGCAGCGTGCCACAATTTCTCTGGCTCGTTAACTGCCACAACCGAATGCGTCTCCACCACTTTAGACTCTTGGGTGGGCCGCGAACACATGGAGTAGTGGCGGGCAAGCGGAACGCTAGTTGATTGCATTTTTAGCATAAATTTCAACGCATTTGACTAATGTTTGGCTATTTGTTATTTTCAACAACGCTCTGCGCTCCTGCTGTCTCTGTTGCTACGAGCTCTGAGCTCTGTCCATTTCCCATTTGGCAGTTTTTACACATTTTTAGCCATTTTACCCATTTCACCCATTTGCCATTCCTCGGGCACTGCGCAATTCTGAGAATGCGCACTAGAAATTATTGCAGCTAATAGATATTGTTGATGCGAATGTGTTGAAGTAACTCTTCAGCAAACATCAACAAAGTCGTATGCAAATGTAATTGTCGTTTTGTACTCGATTTGTTTTTGTTGGCCATGGTGTGCTTATCACAGTCATTGCTTTTGACGTGAGCCAAATTTTAACCCTTGTTTAGCAAAGGGGTCATCAACATTTGGGTGTTCTTAAGACAAACTTTAGAACACAGCGTAATTTGTATTCTCGATACATATCAGCTATCAATTGATTGAACTTTTCGTCACAACATTTTCTCTAAATTGAAGGCAATTAAAAGAAAAATAAATGTAGGATATTGATGATAAATTTCCAAAAATTATGGAAATATAAAAGCTAAAGTTATATATTTAGAAGATTGAATTTAGGCGGAAATGAATCCGTTTGCCTTTACATTCGGATTTCATTTAATACTACCTTATTTATTTACTTCAATTTATCTTCACTTTTTATATTTTTAAAAACGTTTATTAATCATCGGAGTTAAAAGTTATTCATTAACTAAATTTTCAAATATTGCGCAATAGCTTTTAATTTGTATAATGCAGCCAAAGGATAAATTGGTATAGTAGTTGTAAAGCTATAAGAAGATAGCTTGGCAATACACAAGTACTTTATATATATATATATATTCTTAATCAATACCGTTCATTTGTCCGTCTGTATGAACGCAAGGATCTTGGACCGTATAAGGGCTAAAATAGTATTCATATTCCCTTAAGCCATTACATCATATTTTTGCTATTATAACAACTTCCCTGCTATTGTAACAAGATGTTTACAAATTGTGCTCGCTTTTCTCTTCCACCCTATTTTGTTCCCTTTTATTTAGTTTCCTTAAAAATACTGTTTTATGTTTGATTTAAAACCGAAAGTTAAACGCTAAAAATCAATTTATCAATCTTCGAAATGCACTCTAGAAATGTAAAACTTCGAATAGCTTTAGTCCTGAAATTGGAAACACCACTTTTTGGATGGCAAGAATTTTACATATGGCAAAAATTCCAGACCTCGTTTACTCATTATAATTGTTTAACCATTAATGCCTTCGAATCAATAACATTAAATAAAAATTACAACAATATTAAAGCCGTCTTCATATTGTTGACCATTTAAAAAAAATGAAACTAAAACTACATATACAAGTATGTGTATGAAAACCCCAAACTAAACATTTTTATAAAGGTAAAAGTGTATATACGAGTATTCTGCCAAAAATAAATTACTCATTAAAGTTCAACATTTTCAAACATTCACTTAAACTCATTTTCGCTAATAAATAGCTTGTTAATGGCTTTCCTTGTCTCCAATATTTGTGAACCTTTCGCTTTGCAAATAACATTTGAATACTTTTTTATAACTTTTGTTTATGTGTTTTACGTTTATTAACTCAACAAACATCTGGTGTAAGCCAATCCATAAATATAGTATGAACGCATTTCAACGCTATGTGTAGCTGCTTAGAAATGCCAATAAATAATGCCGTTCCCTACAAAATTTGACTAACAAATCAGCCACCTTTCCATACATTTTCACAGTAATGTAATATATTTGCGGTTTTCCCCGTTAATCTACTCACAAAAATCAGGCCCGTAAAACCAAAAATATGTGCCCTTTAACGGCTTATTACGGGTGCTTTAAAATGCCAGAAAATGCTGCAATAAAAAACCGCTGTAATGCGGGTTAATTGTTGCAGCCAGCAACAAAGTTAAGTGGCACATAAAATAAAATTAAAACTACATACTAAAAGGTAATGCCAGTTCTACAATCCTCCTTGAAATTATGTGCTAAGATTAACTGACGTGCAAGTGCAACAAAAGGCAACAACAAAACTAATAAAAAAGTCAGTAACTACAACAACAACAACTACTTTAGAGTCAACAACAATGGTAGCAGTAGCAGAAAAATTAATTAACACACCAAGGCTTGGTGGACACGCCTGCAACACGTACCACTCGCCCCTGCCCCTGCTCCCTGCTCCCTGCTCCCCCGACTTCTTCAACGACTACCCGCCCGACTGACTGACTGCCTAGCCGCCTATTTTCTATTTCCCAGATTTTTCGCCATGTATTTTATGGGCAATGCGCGCCAACACCATCTAGAGGAGTCGCGCCATAGAGTCAACAAAGAAGCCACTGTCGCAGCTCGGTCTGGGGGCTCGGTCCGTCTTTCTGTCTGTCTGCCGGATGGTTTGGTGGTCTGGCGACTTGTCGTGCTAAATGAAAAGCGTGAAATTTATAACAGCCAATAGATTATGCTAGAATATAAATAACATTGCAGTTTTCTGTTTGCTTGCACGAGTGCATTTTGTTGTAAACAAAGACTTCCAAGAAACTGTTGTTGAGGTCTCCCAATTAGAAATGGCTTCGCATAAAAATATGCCTGCCAATTATAATGGATTAGTCATATACTATACTATATGTTCGTATCGAAAATTGGGTTAAGCAAGACATAATTCAACTTCAAATTAGATTTTCAATTAAAAAACATATTAAAAAAAACACATCTATAATGAACTTTGCCTCAAGTAATTTCTGTTGTCATTAACTTTCTCTCCGCCATTCTGTTAATTGACGAGTTTTAATATTTATAATTATTATTTAATAATCCGTTTATTCTATAATGAACTTTGCCTCAATTAAGCCCTGTTGCCACAAACATTTTCGCCGCAATTCAGTTAATTGAATAGTTTTTAATATTTATAATTCTTATTTTATAATCTGTTTAATCAAGATGTATTTTATTTGAAATGTTATACAAGTAAGTAAAGGCAATTAGACGTTAAAGTAAGAAATCAATAGATTAAACAATTTATATTAATGGGAAAATGAAATACAAGCATTACACATTTTTACTCCGTGGCTGTAGCTTTAACCCTTTATCTGGGACATATCTGTAAAAAGTCCCTGCAATTTTGAATTAACTTACAAATATTCTTTAATATGCAAACTGACATCTTTTATACATGTGAAGGAATGTATCTGTAATTCAGTTTTTACACATCATATGGCAATAATTTCCATAAGCTGACTTTTAGCAAGCCCGCCCAAAACTTGCTAAGAAACTTTCTTTTAAAATTTAACATTTTTATAAAACCTATCTAAAATCATTCAGCAAATAAGTAGAAGTTAAAAATAGTAAGTAAATATTATGTTTCAACATATTCTTGTTTTGGAATTATGGACAATTGACAGTTTCTAACATTTCTGTTACATTGGGGTACAACGTTCATAACAACATAATAAATCAATTTTATTTAATAATTTATAGGACAGACAGCCGTATTGTGTGTTTTATTTGCTCATGATTTGAACAGAATGATCTCCCGTGGCTTAACTGAGGAAGAAATAGTTGCTCAGCTTTATTTTTTGTTTTATCATTTAATGCTAAGTTATCGTTGATCTTAATCAAACCTTCCTGATTATTTCAATAAATATTGCTGCTCAATCGGTCCCCATGCTCATCTCTCATTTAAATGAAGCCCTATGTTGCATTTTTTTAAGATACTAATTTATGTACTTTATTGAAATGTTTAAAGGTATATACTTTTTGGTGGTGTACAATTGTATGTGCCTAGAAGCACATACATATAGACAAATTCAAATCACATTGACCATCAGCACAGTTTATAAGCTATCGAGATGAAACAATAGCCTTGGCCCTAAAAATTAATCGGTTTAAGTATCAGTTAAATTGTGTTTTGTCTAAGCTATTACGAATTGTTAAATTTTGCCAAATTCTGGCTAAGATCAGGGATTAGCAGAGTGCACCAGTAATTAGCCTTAATATTTTTACCTCCACGTTACGATTGCTGGCTGTTCCCATTGTTGGCTGGGTGCATAGCTCCATGCCAGCTTTTAAATTTCCTTGTATAGACCGATTTGATTTAAAATAGTTCTTGTACCAACTACTTATTTATTTCAAAATATATGGGAACATAACTGCAAATTGAGAAAGTTGTATTCACATCTAATATTGTTGCAACACTCGTGACTATAAGCTGATATAAAGTTTTCTTGTAAGACACCGAAGAAGATAACTTTTTTGGTCGTTTCTAGCTGATTATGAACTACTCTATTTTTACTTTAAGCCAAAATGGCACACGAAATTTAGGTATTCAATTAAATTGAAATATGTTCACAAGGGACTTATTCTCTTGCTCCACAGAAATCAATTCTACAATAATACTCTGTAATTGAACTAAATTTTTCGCTACTGCACTCACATTGGTCGCCACTATCTCAGATTTATATTCAATCAATACTCTAAACTAAATTGAAATCCGCCACTAACCGAATTAAATCTTAAATCTATTTCAGTTGCTGCCACACAACAGAAAAACACAACCACACCGAAGCCATCTCTACAGATTAAAAAGCATCCTGTAACAAGACTGACAATTACCAAGCTACACACACCATACTTTTTGCCATGCCAGCCTCTGGTTCACCCCGATGAATACTATCAGAGTAAGTTGGAAAAAGAGAGAGAGTAGAGGGGGGGTTATAACTGAAAAGGTTAAATGCACAGCGTGCTTGCAACTCACACGCAAACGATTTGTTATACCACAGATAATGCCTTCTTCTGCACCTGGTATCGGAACGACGAGGCCATCGAGCACTTGTCGATACGCAAAAACGATTTCTTCATCTACAAAAATGGCACGCTGCGCCTGCCCCCCAACGAGCGTGCCAGCGGCGTCTATCATTGCAAAATCGAATCCGATGAGGTGGCCGTAATCTCCGATAGCGTGACGGTCGAATATCCAGGTATGTACGAATATGAACAGCACACAGGAACGCTAATTGCTTTACTTCCTTACTGCAGTGCTCAAGCGCCTGACCCCCGGCTCACAGGTGAGCGCCAACATCAGTGCTTATGAGGGACAGCCCCTGGCCTTACACTGTCCCATGTACAGTGTGCCCGCGGCCCACATCAGCTGGTACTTTGGCAACGAGTCGCTGGCCAATGACAACAGGCGAGTAAAGATCCGAGTATTGTAGCCATCGAGTGAGGTATGAGTTAGAGGCACCCCATTAGAAGCGATGCGCCGCCTGCCCACTTGATGTAATCAATAACCGTTTCCAGCACTTATGTCCAACTGCCCGGTCTGCCAACCACTACTTATAACTGATGTGCGTGACTTTTCTCATTGCAGTGTGCTCATATTGGCAAATGGAACGCTGATACTCCGCCAGCTGAGACTCGAGCATGCAGGCAAATACAAGTGAGTTACTCGCCAACCAATTAGACATATACGAGTGCACCCCTCTCTGTATCTTCCTCCTTGTAAATAGATGGAAAAGCAATTTTCCATTTGGCTGATACTTAGTGTTGGCCATCAACACCTTAGCACTGGCCCCGGCACAGTGGCAGTGAGTTTTAGAAACCGTTGGATGAAATTTCTCCGCTTTCTTGCTCCCACCTACAAATTATAGTAATTTTGGAAGCCCTTCTCATTTTTATGTATTTTATTTAAACAATATGAAAATTATAAAAAAAAGCCTTATAAGCTAGGAAAGCCATCAACACCTTCACACAGACCAAGGCACAGTGGTAGTGAGTTTTAGAAACCACTTGCTGAAATTTGTTCTCTTTTTTGATCCCACCTACAAATTATAGAAATTTTGGAAGCCATTCTCTGCTATTCTCTTCCCTGCAAATAAATTGAAAAACCAGTTTCCATTCAGTGTTTTTATTTTTGTTATTTTATTTAAACAACATTAAAATTATAAAAAGAAAGTCTTATAAGCTAGAAAAGCTGATAGATGAAATTATAGCATTTTTTGAAGCCCTCCTCTGCGCTTCTCATGCCAAGCACCGAGCAATTTTTTATACCCTGTACCCGTAGGGTAAAAAGGGTATATTAGGTTTGTGCAAAGTATGTAACATACAGAAGGAAGCATCTCCGACCCCATAAAGTATATATATTCTTGATCAGCATGATGAGAGAAATCGATCTAGACATGTCCGTCCGTCTGTCCGTCCGTCCGTCTGGATGAACGCGAGGATCTCAGAAACTATAAAAGCTAGAATAACCAAAGTTGGCATCCAGATTCTCCTAGGTCCGAGTAAGGACGAGTTTATGTTTTTTTTTTAATTTTCCCCCCCTTCCCCCGCTACAGAATTTCGTCAATAGCGTCCACATTTCAAATGCTACCTAAACCACACATAATGCACACATAATTTATATATAATTGTCTATTGTTGTTTAAAATTTTATTCAATTCGGTCAATTCTAAGAAAAGTTATTAGCGAAACAAATTCTCGCCAGTACAACCCCCACAAACTGCAGCAACAAGTTCCCTCTTCTTCTTCCTCTTTTTGCTGCTGCTATGGGCGCATATAACTCAGTGACGGAAGTTTACCTGGGTACAGGGTATCACACTGTCGGGCTTGCTCGACTGTAGCGTTCTCTCTTGTTTTTCTATATAATAATAATTAATTTACTTTAACCTTCGTTTACAATTCAATCTATCCTTTTCTCTGAAAATAAATTGGAAAACAAATTTCCATTTGGCTTTAAGTGTTGGCCAATAACAGCTTATCACTGACCACAGCACAATGGGAGCGAGTTTTAGAGACCAACTGTTGATTTAGTTAATATTTTTGATAAAAATTTGATTAATTTTTTTGCCTCTATTCTATGAAGCATCTGAGCAATTTTTATTTTCTATGATAACAAATAGTTTTATTTATCATTTTCTCTGCCAATTCATTGAAAAGCAAGTTTTCACTGACCCGACACAATGGCAGCGAGTTTTAAAGACTATTTGCTAATTTTTGTTTTTTTTTTGAATGACATTCTCTGCGCTTCTCATGCGAAGCACCAAAGCTGCAATTTATTTATTCGATATTAATTTTTTGTTTTTTTTTTGCTAAATACTTAGTATAAGTGAGACTTATCTCCTTGGTTTCCGGTCCACTGTGCCGCAGACTCGTGTGGGTTTACGCTACCCTGGCCACACTAATTAATGCATCCGTCGCAACGGGGGCAAGAAGGAATGCATGCAAATATGTACATATTTATTAACACTTTTGCAGAAGGTTTTGCGTGGCCACCCCACACAGACAAGCGTCCATAATTGCTGCCAATTAGCATGGCAAGCAGGGTGCACGAGCTCGCGCCCACTGTGCACACTGCCCAATCGAATTGTATTTAGCCTGCCAACTCTACTTATACTCGTACATGTTCTATGCTTTTGCAGATGCGTGGCGCTCAACCAATTTGCCAACAAGGGCCATCGCCAGTACGTGTGGACGCTGTGGATCGAGTCGAGTGGTCAGCCGCCCGTTTCGGCAGCGCAGCTATTGCCAGAGCTGCAGAATGCCACCCAGTATGTGCCGACTAGTGGTTCACTTGTGCTGCAATGCCGTGCCGTGGCCGACTTTGTGGCCATCGAGTGGTGGTTCCAGAACAGTAACAACACGCTGACCAAGCTGAGCAACAACAGTGTGTCCTATGCCATAATCAATGCCAGCATGGTGCAACATGAGGGCCACTATACCTGCGTCACACCGCTGGACCGGCAAACGTTTCACGTGCTGGTGACCACAGCTCCGCGCATTCTCAACACACTGCCCGTGGAGGTTGTGTCCATTAGTTTACCCATAACGCTTAGTTGTCGCGCCGAGGGCAATCCGCGTCCCACACTCACCTGGTATCACAATGGTGCACAGCTCAATAGTTCCTATACACGCTATATTAGTAGCAACACTTTGGAAATACATTCCTTTGATCCCGAGGAGGAGGGCATCTACCAATGCTTTGCTCGCAATGTCGCCGGTGAGGACCACATGACCGGCGAGATACTCCTGAAACAGCAGCTGGAGCAGCCAAATCCATTACAGAATATTCGCTGCTACCCACACAGCTTTAACGCCATCAATGTGACCTTTGACAGTCGCATTATGGAGGTGAGTGAAGCCAGAAGGCCATTGCAAAAATAACTTGCAGCACCACAGTTGTGTGCTTACATTAAAAATTAATTTTCAATCATTTTTCGTCATTTCTCTAAGCTTTACTAAATCTAAATACACGCTTTTGGGGTAAAGGTTTCGTATTTGAAGTGCATTTGATAAAAATTGGAAATAAGCATAAATATATATTATTATTTTAGAAATTAAAAAGGGCTTAAAAAACATGAAACTTCTAGAACCTATAAAATTAAACGCATTATACATAATACTCTAACATTTAAATGACTTCGTAGTTACTATTTATGTACTATATATCAGGGAGGAGGACTTTTTATACCCTGTACCCGTAGGGTAAAAAGGGTATATTAGGTTTGTGCAAAGTATGTAACATACAGAAGGAAGCATCTCCGACCCCATAAAGTATATATATTCTGAATCAGCATGACGAGAGAAATCGATCTAGACATGTCCGTCCGTCTGTCCGTCTGTCCGTCCGTCTGGATGAACGCAAGGATCTCAGAAACTATAAAAGCTGGAATAACCAAAGTTGGCATCCAGATTCTCCTAGGTCCGAGTAAGGACGAGTTTATTTTATTTTTTTTAATTTTCCCCCCCTTCCCCCGCTACAGAATTTCGTCAATAGCGTCCACATTTCAAATGCTACCTAAACCAAACTTTGCACACATAATTTATATATAATTGTCTATTGTTGTTCAAAATATTATTCAATTCGGTCAATTTTAAGAAAAGTTATTAGCAAAACAAATTCTCGCCAGTACAACCCCCCCAAACTGCAGCAACAAGTTCGCTCTTCTTCTTCCTCTTTTTGCTGCTGCTATGGGCGCATATAACTCAGTGACGGAAGTTTACCTGGGTACAGGGTATTACACTGTCGGGCTTGCTCGACTGTAGCGTTCTCTCTTGTTGTTATTTATATTTTTCAGTAAACATATTTCCCGAAAATGTTACTTCGAATTTATTTGAAATATTAACGTATAACATTGTGGGCAGACTGGTTACTTAAAAAAAACGGTAAAAAAAAATATTTTTTTTAAAAAAGACCTTTAAGGCTTCAAAGCTACTAGATATTTAGGCCTATGTCTATCATTTATTCCAAGTATACTATACCATTTAAATTATAAGTAAAATGAAAACATTGAATGCAGACTGGTGCAATATATTTTTATAATTTAAAATACCTACACAATCTGAATAATAGGGTTCAAAAATAGGTTGCTTTAGAGCTTTTTTGAAAATGGATCAAAGGTTGACAGTATTTAAAAAATGCTTTTTAAGTTAAAAGTTAAAAAAAAGGATTTTAGTTATAGTCGTCAAACAAATACCTACAATCTTGAGAAAATGCTTTCATAATGCTATCGAATTTTTGACACCACATTTCAGCATAATATGCTATTATTATAAATATAGTAAAGTTTTAGTAAAGCTTTAGAAGCAGCTTGGAGTGATATTTTAGAAAGTATTTAAGATATGAGCAACACAATAGCATAAAAATTAACAAATTATTTATTTAGAGAGTTCTGAGAAACTCCACTTTTCTCACCATAAACATATCGATCTAAGTAAAAGGGGACTGTGTAGAAAAAAGGTGTATTTATACGAATTTTTCACGTTTTCTTTGTTTCAATACTTCTGGAACTTTCCTCGTACGATAAACTGCAGCAGAATAAATCGAATTATGCCCTCGAACAACCAATAATAAATTGTTGATTTACTGGTTTTCTGCATTATTACATTAAATGAAATACCTTTTAATTTTTAATTTAATTATTTGAATTGACCTTAAATAATGAAAACCTTTATTGCCACAAACAACTTGTTGTTGCAGCACATTTTCAAAACACAATTTTAATCAAATTTCGTCTACGCTTTACTAATTCGCAATTCGGATTTGATTTCAGTCACTATTTGTGGTTCATATTGTGCGCAGTAATCCCCACAACTGGAGCTCATTGCCACCAATGAAGCTGAACCACACCTCGTATGTGATCATCTCGAATGCGTTGCCCGCCTATCGTCCATTTGCGCTGATTACGCGCGTCCTCTTCCCCACCTCCGAGGTGCGGACGCGCACGCTGACTCAGCAACGAATATATCAGAGCTCATTGCGTAGTCCGCCGGTCACATGCTGCACTCAAGGGCGTGAGTATAGACCCGGTCCCAGACCATTAACCACAAGGCCACTGCCACTAATACCATCTCTCTTTCTCCATTCCTTTCTTCGGCCTGTCTGTTTAGTGTTGCTGCTCTCCGTGCACATTAAGAACGACACCTTTGTCTTCTGGTCACAGGCCGAGCTGGAAACGAAGAAATACTTCATCTTGCAGTTCTCCATTAATCACACGCATCCGCATCCCGAGCAGCTGCTGAAATCCCCGCTCATAGGCACCGTCGCGCCCGTCGACCTCAACGAGGATATAGTCCGACGCCAGTTGACAACCATAGAGCCGCTAAATCAAACGGCAGCCACCAACGTGCTGCGTAATGCCGAGCACGAGGTACTGGACAACGAGGTGGACGACATGGCTTTGGAATTGGAGGAGGACATATTCAGTTTGGTGGTGGATGCCAATGTCACGGGCCTCCTTCTGCAGCACTTTACGCGCATTAAGATGCGTGTCCTCATCATCACTAGCGAAAACGAGTATTTGGGTCAGGACTTTCGCTATGTGCGCTGGAAGATTGTGAGTAAACTGTACTGTAGTGAGAACATCTTTAATTTATTGGGGACGATTAGGGGTTCTTACACAACCCGCTGAGGCTCAAAACAAGAAGAACACTTTATTTACAAAACTTGGCTTACAAAACAGTGGATATTTTCTATTATTTCCTTAATAGTAGTGTGCACAAAAATTAACATTAAATTAATTAATTAATTTTGAATTAGAAAATAGCTTTCAGTATTGTAGTCACTTTTTATAAAAAAAAAAAAAAGGAAAACATTTTTTACAATGGATGGACTTCATTTGTAAATCTTGTTTATAATTAGTCCCTCTATTTGTTATTACATAAACTACATATATGGTTTAAAAACAATTTCTTAACCGAGTGTTATGTAGCATCGATAGTTTCGTTTCCTAGGTTTCAAATCATATTTATTGTGAAGAACAGAATTTAAGGAGCGCCGCTCTTTAAGTTTTTAGAAATCGCAGAAAGCTTTGTCCATTGGTACACATTTTTGAATAGAAACATGACTATTTCCCAAAATAATCTGCACCAAAGAATTGAATATATCATTTTTTAAAGGTATTTATTTAGTATTTTATAATATCTTTATTACATCTTCATTATAAATAATAATAACTTTCCTCCCAGCATTTAAATTTAGTAGTTTCGGAGTTTTATTTTCATCAAGAAAGTATTATGTATATTATTAAATAGTGTTATATTTATGTTTGATTTACTTATTTCATAGATTTTTCAAAAATTGTAAAAATTAAATCAAACCCTACACATTGATCTAATAGATGTACTTAAGAAGGTTTTCTGGGTAGCAATTTAATTGGAAACATTAAAAACATTTTTTATTTAACTTCTTGTACAAGTATGTAAATATGTTTTTTATATATCTTTGTCCATCGTATTGAACCCAACTGCCTTTCATTGTTGATTCGAAAACAGCAATCGACTAAATGATACATATCTTTAAACCATTGCACTTTTTGAATTGAATTTATTTCTTTATTATCAGCTAGTAACCTTTTTATAAATGCCCCCAACTAAAGTCTACTTTATCTAAAACATTTTCCATCGTTCCTTCTGACAGATCGAGAACAATACCTCAGCTCAGTCGAGCATGCCCTTTCGTCTGACCACCCGGGAGTCGCGAATGTTGGCCTTTCAATTTCAGGATAGCTTCAATGATACTTGCGTCTATGAATGCCATTTGCTCATACAGATGGCACTCAAACGGAAAGAGGAGCCCAAGTGCAAGGAGAGAACTATTATGAATTCAATATTGTTGGTCAACGGACTCTTTGCCAACAACAGCTATAATTTCCATTTTTACAATTGTGAGAATCACATATTCTATGGACAGATCGATGTGAAGACCCTGCCTGATCGTAAGTGCTCAATCAAATCAGAAAGACTTGTCTGTCTCTCAACTATACTATATTATATTTATACACAGCACCCGGCACTATAAACAACTCGCGTCTGATAGTGGAGAATGGTCTGAAGCTTGTTTGGGATCCGCCAAATCAGCCCAACGGTCAAATACATCATTATAATATAGTATGGACGCTGGGAAATGTGACACATGAGACCAATGTTTTCAAATGTAATCCCTGCAGCTACAAGGTATAACTAATTTCTACTCAAAACATTTATTGTTTTTCATTTTAAATAAAATACATTTTGTGATTCTCCCACCAATGGCGATTCCTTTGAAACAAATTAAAGATCACTTACAGGAGAATACAATGCCTGAAGTATGCTTTTTAATTGATAAACAATTGAGAACCTATTAAACAATTCATAGGATTGAAAAGTGTCAAAGATTTCCCTCTTCATATTCCCATCGTTATTTCCGAAACTAGAATAATAAATTTATTAATTTTTAGATACATATTTATTAATATCGCTCCGCTGATTTTCTAACTGATTTGAAAAATCATATATATTTTCAATAAAGAAAGGTTTTTTTTTAATAATGGAGCTAGAAAGAATAAAATCTCTCTCCCATTTTCTTGTTATAATTTCTAGTTATTTAAGTACAACTGTTTTAGCGATAATGATTCAACTGATCTTGAAACTTAAAGATGCAGAATGTTAAAACAATCCTAATTTATAAAGTGATTAAAAAAATGAAAAAAATAGATAGCTCCTTTAACAATAAATTAATTAAACATCTCGACAGCATAACTCAGAATTAACAACTACGTGTGTAGATCGATTCAACTTAAAAAGTTTTGTAAATAGTTCTAACAAAAATTTTTCTTTCACTTTTTTCACTACCCAGAGCTCTTTTGCAGGTTTTTAGTAGTGAAATTTTATTTTTCTTTGTTAAGTAAATATTTTTTCTCTTTCTTTCAATTTGATAATCATTTAAATGCGTACTTCTTTCATTTTCTCTAAATGGTACTACGATTGCTTAAATGTTTCCAGTGATTAACAATTTAAATTTGTATATTCCACAGTTTCCTAATGTTTCGGAGACGGATTTGATTCATGTGGCTGTGCGGGTGCTGGGTGACACAGGTGTGGGCGCGCCCATGTACTTCGATTTGACGAGGAACAATCATCACACGTTGGAACGCGAACGATCCAGTTCTAATTCGGAGGTCTATAGCGGCATTGCAATTGGCTCCATGCTGTCCCTCATGTGTGTGTTTGGCTTTGCACTGTTCATCATCTTTCAGCGGCGCCGTTTTAAGGCGCGTCAGCAGGGACCCACACACCTGACGACGCCCACGGACATTAATTTCGGAAATCTGAGCAACACGGTGATGCCAGGCGACAGTGCTGGAGGGCTGAGTGGCAGCACGCTGCAGCAGGATTGCCACGAGATGCAGACGCTAATTCCACGCTCTCGCTACCACATCGAACTGCTGCCGGAGCACACGCTTGAGTATCAGACATCGACATCGGCGGCGGCAGTAGCTGGAGCTTCCTCACATCCGCTGCCCAATGGCAATGGCAATGGCAATATACCATCAGCACGTCGCCTGGAGCAGGAATCGCAAATGGGCAGCGATGGTCACGAGCTCAGTATTGCCGGTGTGCATAATTTGTCGCAAATGCCGCTCTGCAGTGGCTCGCCGGAGGCGAAGAGTGCGCAGGAGGCGATGCTGCACGATGCCAAGGCCTTCTACATACCCTATCGCCATACACCGCCAAATGCTGTGGCGCTGCAGCCGGCCAGCAACAAGCAACAAAGTTCCTCGCTGCATGCCAATGGTGCTGAACTGGAGGTGGCCGTACCTCCCAGTTCGCTGCCACTGGTGTCCGCCATGCCGGGTCTGGGGCTGGGCAGCAGCAGCGCCCGTCGCAGCTGCAGTTTAAGCAGCAGCAGCACCAGCAGCAGCAGCAATGGCAGCAAGAAACAGTACCATCATACAAATTTCCCCAAACATTCCAATTCCAATGATGGCATCTGTTTGCTAGCCGAGGAGGAATCGGCGGCCACACTGACGCCGACCTCGGAGCACGAATATGTTGGCGCCACACTGACCAATGGTTTCAAATTGCCCGCCGATATGACAACAACGAATAACAAAAGCAGCAAGACGCTGGAGCAGCCAGTCAGCAAATTGCATTTCAGTCGCAACAACAACAGCAACAACAACAATGGCAGCGGTCAGAAAGGCCAGACTGCCGTCACACAACTGAAGGATCGCCAGCAGAGGCAGCAGCAGAACTCGTCGCAGCGCAGCAAACCGATCTCGTTCAGCCACAACACATCATCCATAGTTCCTGCCAACGGGCCACAAAAGCCACTTGTGGCCGTCAATGCAACAAGCAATGCAACAGCATCAGCGACCGCAGCAGCAGCAGCAGCAACAACATCAACAATGTTGCATGCCAAACAGCCGTGGCCAGCGACAACATCGGTGCATCGACGGGCCCAGGTGGACCCAAATGGCTGAGTCATGGCCCTTAACGACATGACGGCACGCTGCATAAGTATTTTATAAAGCTACTAAACACATAAAAATACACACACACTCACACACACTGTAACATTCGCAGCTTGAAACATTCCAAAACACACATGCCATCCAGTTTTAGGTACAGTCGAACTTAACTAAAACGAACTAATTTCCTCCTCTAATGAACCCAGAATTCCTGACAGTACCTTTGGCCTGATTTATTTTTATTTTATTTTCGTAATGTAAGAGGGTTAAGGGTCTACGACTCCAGCGAACATACGCATTGCAAAATGTATAGATGAAATAATTCTGGAATTATTTCGATTGTCGAACTAACTTCTTTTAATTACTATTATTCTTATGTGCTACAAAAAACACTTCGATCCTCTCATGCTGTTCGTGTAGCATCCAACCACAACTTATAGTTCCCAAATAGGTTTTCTACATAATATTATTAGAAATCAATGAATTTGATAAAAACAATCGGTTCCAAAATCAAAATATCTGCGAAATCATTTATCTTTCGCTAACATTTCGTTTTTAGTGGGCAAAAGCATTCGAACTATAAAATATTTACAGTTTCGTTAAAAATATTACAAAATCTGCCAAAGGTTGGTACTTATAAGAACTTTTTTCGCACTATCAGTCAAATAGACTTATATAGTTTTAACAGCAAAACTGTGCATAGATTCGTGCCATAACTCTATTGAATTGGGCGAGAGAAGAAATAGCAAAAAGTATAGCAGAAACAAATGTAAAAAAATGAAAATACTTTCAATTATAAAAGAACCCATATTTTTTGTAGATTCTATGACTCTAACTATCCAAATAAAATAGATTGCAACAAGCAGCCCTTCAAAGAGCATTGGAGTTCAATTCAATAAGCTCGCATAAGCTCTTTTCTAAAATTTGTTAAGTAATTCTTAATTAAAAACAATTGAACTAAAATAGTTGTCAATCAAAACAAATACTGTGAAAACTCCCTTAACAGATATCTCTTTCATCGACACCTCTTTTACACTCTCTTCGGCGGACACTTTTTCTAAAGCAATCGATCCGTGCATAAAGTATTTAAGCGAACACTCCCCGTGGGCAGACAAAAACTGACCGACCGTGAGTTTCCGGCCAAGAGAGGTTTCACTGTATCCTTATTTGGTGAGCACATGTTCAGCAAAGCATTCGTTTAGACATTTAGTATATTGGGGTACGACTATAAAGAACACTTCTAAACAACAAATCAGCTACTCTATGGACCTCTTGGTTAGTTAGAGCCCTGTTCCACTGAACCGCATCAATTGATGAAATGTTGGCTCATAATGCGCATAAAAGCTAGTTTTGTGATATACAAAAAAAGCCTATCGATCTCTCCCATGTTTTCGATTAGAACACCTTGTTATATGATCTGCCGCTGATAAGTTGTTGCAATCAATTTTGGTGGCATTGATCACAATGTTTTGAGTCTCGAAACAGTGCTATATAAATAAAATCAATATGTTCGCATGCTATATTTACAAATTTATTATAAAAGTTATGTAAATGAAGTAAGCAGCTGTTTTGTGAAGCGACTTTCTTATGCATGCCGGAGAACAGAGTTTTATTATTATTTTTGTAAAGCGTTCCATATTTTGTTGTGGAACTAGGGCCTATAACTGTTTACTCGTTTATTTCGTGTTCAAAGTTAACTAAAATCATTCCGATGCCCATAGTTTGTCGCTCTATTCAAATAGGTCATAAGCTTGGAAACCTCTTGTTGGTTAAGCAGTAAAGTGTTTGTTTTTATTGCACAATTTACATCTATAATTTAGCCATTTTCCAATGGGTTCGTTTTAAAGAAGCTTGACTGTACTGGCATGTGCACCTTTAATAAACAGCTTAGGGCCAACTGAACCTGTTGAACCCCTGTATGCGTTAAACATAAGGCACACAACTACTATTTATATACATACTATATACTTGTAATCATATAAGCGCTAAGTTGTATGCTATAGTTTTTTATACATATATCGTATACTTGATATTTGTTTAGTATACATACGTATTCGTTTACATCACTTTGTTTTCGTTAATTGAGGCTAATAAATATTATTATTTGTACGTTTTAGTTTGCAAAGGCAGTTTTGCAAGAATTTACCCATTGCTGCTATAATTAAACAATAACTTATTAATTTAATCGCATTAATACATACATACAAGTACATACATGCATACGTAGCCAAAAAACAACAGCATATTTCTATAAACAACACTCACTCACACATACACACACACACATTGCAATAGCCCATATACATACATATATACAAATACTACATATAAACATATATACATTCATATATATACAGCCAACTCACAGCCACAATAGTCAAAAGTGTTCATTGATTTAAAATGCATTTAAAATCTTTACAATCATAACATTTAATTTCCGTGTATTTATTGCTTCATTTTGTTTGCTTATTGTTTTTGTTTTCTATATATCTCTCTCTTTCTATCTCTCTCTCTCTCTGTTTCACAACCGATATATCAAATGTACCTGATTATAATCATTTTGCATTTTGTTTTACATGCTTTCAAACACAACTAAACACACTCACACAAATGCGAGCTCTCTCACACACACACATACACACGCATATTTTTATTTTAACTTTATATGCAAATATTTTGATGACCATAGACTTGTACCACAGCCGTATTATAAATCCAATTCACCGACTGTACCTCGTTTGTACAAAACAACAGAAGCTGAATCTGAATATGAAACTAATACTGATACTGAAATTGAATAGAAATCTTAATCTGAATCTGTCGCTAGCCCGAACACACACACACACACACCAACATACTGTATACTGGTCGATATTTGAAGATTATACAATTACGAGTAAATTCTGAAATAGCGCCCAAACAAATCAGTGAATAGCAGTCTATATTCAAGAAATATAATCCCTTTTAATATGAAAAATGCAGACTTTTTTTTTGATTAAACGCTCAAATTTTCACAGAAAATTACATTCAAAGAATAAATGTTCTGAAAAAGATTAAATTGAAAATCCCGCGAATATACATTTTTGAAAATAATTCAATATCAAAAATATTTATTTAATAGAATTATTTGATTGTAAAACGTGTCCTTTTTAAATTTTATACGGTTATTATGTAATGACAGCTTTTTAAAAATGTAAACATTTTTAGTTTAAGAAACTTACTAACAGCATTTTTCAGCATTATACGCTCATTTATTTAGGATTTAAAAACAAGACAAAAGTTAGTTCCGGATTCAATGATAAGTTCCACTCTCTGCGTTAAAATTACAATTAAAAAACAACACCAAAAAGTTGTATTCATTTTACAATTTTATTTTATTTATTTTTATTTAGTATTGTTACAGAATATCAAATTGGCTTAAAAAACTAACTTCATAATGAAAAATAACAATTTTAGACTCAAACATTTCATAAAATTTAAGACAGAAAATATCAAATATCAAGAACTTTAGTTCTATAACATTAGTTGGGTCATGTCGATAATATTCTTTTGATATATCAAGCATGCAAGGTATGTCCCATAGTTACTGGACTATATAAAAATAAAATTACAGAATTGATATTTTGTTGAAATGAGTTAATTTTATTCAAAAAATTTACCTTACGACTTAATAAAACATTTTGCATGATAATGAAGGATTTTTGAGACATATGGCATGCTCTTCAGAATATCAGGACAAACTTTTTTAAAGGGCTCGACGTCCTCATAGCCCTTTTCTTTAATGGGCAAATGGGTGGCTGCTTGCTTAAAATGCGATGAATCGATGATTTGAAGATTTTTCACTTAATTTCCATAAAGTAAACCAAAGATTTTGTAGAATTACTAAAAATTCTTGAATCATGATATACTTGTTTCATTAATTTAAACGTTTTTGAAAAAATTTTAAATTTTTAAATTAAGCTCTTAGCTTCAAATTGTAATTGAAATCGTTTACGTGTATAGTCGGTGATAGAAAGCTGAAATGTTGACTCTTTTATGGTCATTCAATGGAAGTAACAGAACAGAAGGTTTCAATAAGGCGACGTTTATTCCCAGTAGACGATGGTTTTTTATGCTGAAGAAAAACAATTTGGCTTCTCTTTTCATCAATTTTTTAATTGAAAAATGGGTTTTTGAATGTCAGAATCATTGTATTTTATAATGAATTAATCAAATGTAATTAAAAATTATAATTATTTTTATTCTCTATTGGTAAAATAAAACTCAAACTTTTTCATTAGAAATTAAATAATTATTGCCAAACTGTGTAATCATCAATTATCGACCAGCGTGCATTGATATTATTTTTGATAAGCATAGCAAGTTAAAGTAGCGTGTTAACGAACATTAGCAAAAACCACAAATCTACGAATAGAGCATCCAAATAACAAAGCTCAACATTGTCAGTTATAAAGTGTATTTTGTGAATTGTTGTTCCAAGTGTAAAACGAAAAGCAAAAAAATTGTTATAAAATGAAATTAATAATAATAATACACACACACACACATACATACTATATATACATAAATATACATACCAAGCCAACAAATAGACAGACCTACAAACACATTCCATAGAGGTACTATAAACACACGCAATCACCTACCTAACATATTGACATTAATACTTACATGGTTACATACATATATGTGTATGTAAATATATATATATATATATATATATATATTGGAAATGAAATGAAAGGCAAATTTTTATCGAAAAAGATTGATATATGATTGAATGTGACAAAATGTGTTTAAAAATTGTAACTGTATACGTATTTAGACCTAAGTGCAATAACAACATAGTAAAGCATTATCTATGCTGCCTACATACATATATTCATAAACCTACCAACCAAACAAACAGCAACAACAAGAAAAACGACAGTAACAAACAATAGTACCTTTCCACAGAAGAAGCAGCCTGTCTATGCCAATGCTTAACGGCAAATTCAGTGTTGTAAAAGATATAAAGTAACATCATGACAAATGACAAATGTAAACGATGACAGTAATCGATACGAAATCGATTGTATGCCCTTTTCAATGATATTTAAAGCAAATATAAAATAACAGATCAAAACAATTTTTTACAGTTTTGCAATGGAATTTTAAAAACTGATAAATACTGCAATATTTCAACGTAATATTATCAGCTGCCATAATCGAATATATAATATTCAAAAACTATGCAACGCTTATATCATTGTTAGGGGCATAAGCTACTTTATGGGTTCTTTGGAAAATTCACGCATGCTGCATAGAAATCGAAATGGTAAATCCCCAACCTATCCTTAAAAACAGAATTCAACAGAACTTCATATTTTAAATGACACTTTGTTTTATACTACTTCCATTACGCCATAAAATGTTCAACATATAGTAACTTCTAGCTTATTTAGCAATCATCATAGTTCTCGTTTTTCTTGTTTCCTTGTAAAAAAAATTGGATTGCCTATGCAGCTTACGGAAACCACCCCATAGCATTTACCAATCTTATTTGTGTTCATACTAAAATAAGCTCAACAAACTTGCATTTCAAAACCACTGACAACTGAATAGAATCAGAAAAGTGTTTTAGGCTTACAAAATACAAAACTCTCATGGTGTTCCAGTAATAAGTAAAGAAAAATAAATCGAATGCAAAGCTCATAAATATCTATACGAATATACCAACAAAAAAAAACATTTTAAAATAAACAAAAACAGAGCATTTACAAGCAAAACAAAAAAAAAAGAATATTCCGCAAATGAACTCGAAATTCCTAGAACAAAGAAAGAAACATTTTAAACATTACAAGATAAAAGCAAGATAAAAGAAAAAGTTAAATAAAAAACAACTTAATAATAAATAATATACAAAAATATTATGCAGCAAAGTAAAAAAGAAAATGTATGCATTAAAGCTATAAACTTAATCATAAGACATATTATAAAACGAAAAGGAAAAGATTAAGAAAATTAACTGCGATTGTGATCGCCGTGTAAGTGGATGTGATAAATGTTTAAATTATTTAAGCGCAAAAACAATAACAAACAACAACAACAAAAATTACAATTAAATGGCATATGGCATATGAAAGCGAATTGCGACTTTTGCAAAAGAAAATCATGAATTAGATGTCCATTAAAGATATTAAGCAGGCATTTAATTCGGTACTTTATGTTCTTAGAGCGGCTTTTAGATTTCAGCGAATTTATGCTTCTGTTATATTATTTTGTTTAGTTTTTGCTTAAGAATATTTCGTATACCTCATTGTTTTATGTTTTAACGTTTAACCATGGCACACATTAAGAACTCCAATGGAAATTTGCTTTAATGCGAAAACAAATAATCGAGCGAAACAAATTAATGTATTTTTTATGTAATTTACTTATATATACATAATCATATGCGAGCAAAATTTAAATATATACATATATACCGACTAAGCGGGAAATGATTTGTGTTAAAGTTTTCGGTGAAAGTAGATCGGTCTAACAACTGACAATTGGCGCGGCTAATGAGTCTAATACATGTAAAATGTAGCGAAGCTCCATGTACGAGATGTAAACCTAAAGAACGGAGAAACAGAATAAAATTTAAATATTGGAAAAATATATTAAAGCTAAGTTATGAGCAAACATATAAGAAAACACAGAAATGCATTTTTAATTATTTGGAAAATACACACATACATACATTCAGTATATGTACTTGTATATTCATATTTATTTCCGCTCGCGGCACTTATCGTTTACAAAATATCAAATGGGTAATATCTTAAAAAAGGAAAAAACATTTCATATCAATTAATATCGTTGGTAACGTTTGACGAACTTGATTAACAACGGCCTATGTACATTATATATTACTGTATGTATGTCTAGCTATTATTTATGTATATAGTACAGCTGTTTTCGAAGCGGGAAACATCACAACAAAGTGCTCGCTGATCACAATTCAAATTCAAAATCGTTCATAAATATGTAAATATGTTTGTGTGTAGATAGTAGGTAGTACTTGTATCTACTAAATGGCATGCTTAAAAACGAATTTGCTGGCGGGTGGATGGTGTGGGGATCAATACAAATAAAATTAATGCAAAAAATTACATTTATGCTACACACTATGACGACAGAAACAAAACAGAAACAGAAAAACGCTCAAAAGAAACGAGTTCCAGCTTCCCAATTGGACGCCTTAACCTTAGGTACGCGTATTAACTAGGGCTGCCCTGCAGGTTGCAACTTTGAGTTGCTGCCCGTTGCAGTTGCAAGCTCATTCACATGTGTTGGTTCTAACTAAATCAGGTCCTGCGTATTCTTAATTGACGGCGCGCACACGCTTAGCACACTTTCTCAATCATTTTGACCAGCTCTTTGTACAAAATGCAGTCACGTCCGCGAGGCTTGCAGATCTCACGATGATCCAGCCGTATGCCGCACACATCGCCAATTCCGGGATCTGGAAAAAATATATATAAATACATTTTAAATTCATTTCAAGAACAAAACTTGATACAATGGGATCAGGGGGAAATATAGTCAAACTACTTAAAATATTTGGTCCCAAACTTGGGACACATAGCCTGTGCGAAGTTAAAAAATAAGTACTAATTCGAAAATTTGCACCGCAAATGGGGGAAAATATTAAAAAATAGTGATTGTAAAGCACAAATATTGGCCATAGGTGGAAAGGTAAAAATAATGGAGAATATTGGATATGGCGAATGAATCCCTGCATACTATATAAAGGATTTAAAGAATACTAACCTGCCGAATCCACGCCCACAATGCGCAAATATAGCACCGACATGAGTGTCAAAGCCGTCTCCACAAAACTGAAGACCTCGATTTTTAGATGTCCCATGTGATAGAGGCCCGAAAAACGGCGATGCAGATCCAGCAGATACTTGTTATCTAAGGACATGATATATCATTAATAAATGTACGAATATACACGATAATTGCAAGGTTCTCCACTCACTCTTCTCGATTTCCAGCAGCTCCACAGAGCGCGCCAGTAATGGCGCCTTAATGCTGGCCAAATGGGAGCCCCGATGTGGCACGGAATAGAAGAAACAGCCACGTGCCGAACGCCACAAGGGCGTCATGGCCGGCCGGCCGCACTCCCAGGCATCCACAATCAACTGCTTTATGAACAATCCGCCCTTGGAGTGACCCACATAGATGATCGGATGACCATAACCAACTCTATGTTTGATTAACAGTTCGGCCATTTCCCGAGAACGCTGCACCAGACCCGAACGCGGCTCCTTGCCTTTCCACAGTGGTCGCCAAAGATACTGATCGGTGGTATAGTTGACCGCAATGACTCGAACGCCGGGACAATCGAGGGGTAGCCAATCGCCGGGCCAGCATTTGGAATAGTTTGGATCCTTGGCGGAGGGTTTGCTGGATTGTTTACGCTTGCCTTTTCCCACTAAGGATTTTGGCGAGACGTCAGAAGACTGTGCGTTATGGGGGTCATCAGGTGTGTTGTCATTATCATCGGACTGCAGCATAGACAAGCGGGTTTTCTCCGGCATAAGCACACGGAATGGCGGAAAGCTGTACTCGATGTCCCCGCAGATTTGTATGTCCTTGGGCGCACCGCAAACATAGGCGTAACTGAAAGATTTCAAAAATCGATTTTCAATAAGGTTGTCTTTCATTTGGCAATGCAACCAACACTTACTCCTCGCCATCATCATCGGAGGCATTGAAACGTTGCTGCTGTTGTTGCTGCTCCTGTTGTAGCTGCGCCCATTGCTTCGCATCATGGCTGAGCGCAGTTGGCTCCAAGGAACGCTTGCTGGCTGCGAACTTGGCGCGCTTCTCTCGCGGCGCTTGATGAATGGCCGCAGAGCGCGAGTGACGAGCCCGCTTTGGGGGCCGGACCGGCTGCAGAGGCGGCCGCTCAAACTCCACGGGTCGGCGTTCGTTCTCCCAGAGGCCCTGCTTCCAGGTATTCACCTGCGAGCCGTGCAATCCATGCATGAAAACAATGTCCGCTCGTATGGGCGTACCCGCCGGTGGCTCCGCCAATATATTTAAAGTGCAGCAATTGGGTGCAGGCTGATGATCCACACGGGATTTTCGCTTGCCTCCCGACGGCCCCAGCATGGGTATTGGCGAATTCTGCGGATGTACTATAATAGGCGTGGCTGGCAGGGAGGGTGTATCCGGCAAGCTCTCCAGGCCATCCTGTGATTTGCGCAGCTTCAATAAATTCAAAAGGGGACCGATGCGATTTGAAACTGAAAACAAAGGAGAATCGAATTTTACATATTTGTTTCATGCCCCACAAAACTTTGGGAATATTTTATAAATGCGAATTAATATGGAATAGCTGTTAGCAATTATCTATATACATTCAATTCCAATTTAAAAACAAGCCTGAACAGCAGCTTAAGCCACAAACTACAGTTTGGAAATACATAATAATTTTTATAGACACCCGGCCATTAGAATCAAAAATAAATAAAAACTAACAAATAAAACTCGTTTCCTACTTATGGTAGTGCTAATGCAACCTGGTCTCTTATAAGAAAGTATAATCAATTCCCATTTTTAGTATGAAGTCAAATAGCAAAGCCCAAAAAAAAAAAGAGAGTTTTAAAAAAATGTCTGCCCTTGACACATAAGCTTTGGGAATTGTTATGCTTAGACTGGCAGACGCAACACATGCTTATCAATATTATATATACATACTATAGTATGTCAAGCCTTTCAACACAAGACTTTGTTACTTAGTTACAGGCTGGAAAAACTATATGGAATTTGCTAATCTCAATCCATTTAGGGAGAGCACACGACCACTGCTTGCTTACTACACTATGTGAGCTTCGCGTACTCTCTTGGTCTATAACAATTCCACTGCTTGAATAAGACCACTGCAATAACACTGCTTGAATACCAATGCAAACGTCGTAGAATTTTTTGGAAGGCAATAAAAACGTACAACGTATAAATCTATAGATTATAAAGCTCTTCATAAATAAACCATTAGAGTTTGTAAGAGTTTAATCATTTACTTTTGTGGTTTATGTTACTTTGCACCGCTTAGGACAACCGATCGCGAGCAAGCTTCCATAAATAAAGTAGTTGTTGCAAAAACAAAATACACGTGGTGCGTGTATTGTGCTCGACTTTCAGCAGGATTAAGGTGTTGTTGTAGTGCTTCCGATTAAAAATTTCTCAAAGTGCTGCCTTTTAACTAATATATAGTATTAACAATTGAACAATTTGTCTAAATATTCAATCTGTCAAATCGAAGCCAAAAATTTTAAGTTTGCTGCATTAAATTTTCAAAAAAAAAGACATTTCAAATTGCTTTGGAGATATTTTTAATGTTCCCAGTTGCACTCACCCTGCACTGAGGACAAATTCATTGAAATCGTGTTGGCCGCAAAAGCCACCAGATTGGTCAGCATTTGTCGACTGGAGGCCAAATTCTGCATTAGATGGTCGACACGCACATCGCGTATGCCTTGAATCCCTCGAGCCACGCCATTGGCCAAGGGGAGCACCAAACGCACTAGAATGCCAAAAACGACGCGCATGCTCCCACTGTTGTTGTTGTCGCTATAATATGAAAATAAAACATAATACAAATTAATTATTTAACATCGCACTAATCCCTTCTATTTGATACTTACGCCTCCATCAACGCGTTTGCACTGCTTGAGCGCACCAGGTCGCTAACTGCTTGCTCCTCCTCCTGCCGATCAATTTCGAGGTCATTGGCGTTGCTATTGTTGTTGTTGTTGTTGTTAGTGGCTTGTTCATAATCCTGCACATAATATTCTTCTTGTTGCTGCGCCATTTCCCCAGCACATGCCGCTGAATCATCAGCACTTTTGTTGTTGTTTCTGCTGCTTCTGCTGCTGCTGCTGCCCTCCTCCACGATTCTCATCATCGATATGTCACAGACGTAATGCTCATCGATTGCCCCCGTTTCTAGAGCTATGTCTCTATTATTTTCCTCCACCGCTTTTGCTTTGTCGCTAATGTCTTTGTTTATGTTTTTGTTGTTGCTTAGCTCCCCGTCCGTCTCAACTTGGTCCTCTCCGTTATTTCTACTGAATGGTGCATCGCTTGACGAGGCTCGAGCAAACATTGCACTTCTTGCCTATTTCTTAATCTCCTTCTTATTTTTGCTGTTGCTGCTGCTGCTATGCTTTTGTTGTTGTTGTTGTATGTAGTTGGCTGCGAGCCAATTAGCAGAGGCTCAACATGTTGCAGCCCCTCGCGCTCTCTCACGTACTGTAATCAAATGTAAATTTACTTTTAATCAAAGCTGTTGTTGACTTGCCACACAAACAAACACACTTGTACACATAATTATCTCTCTCACACTCTTATTCTCTATCCGTAAAAATTCGCTGTCATTTGTCAATGTCAATGGCAGGCAATGCCGTCTGTATCTGTAGGGCCATTTAATGCGTTCATTATAAGCATCACAATAATTTGGTCAAGTTCAGCGGCAAAACTTTCGTAGAAAAACATTTCCCCCTTCTTTTGTTTTTGTTTTATTTACGATTCTCTGTAAGTTCGGCGATTTGCGTTAAAATAGCTGGGCGCTAATGCTGGCATCGCAACTAACGTGCGAACATCACTCATACGCCATGTGTGACGAAATTGCAAAAGCCAACGAATAGGCATAGAACCACAACACAAATTATAGATTTTCGCAATATTATCAAAATTATATTAGAAATCAAAAGAATGTTTATTTTATTCATATATTAATATATTCCAAAGGCAATAGAACCCTGCTTTATTTGATTTAAATTGGGTTCCAATTACGTTTTGCAGTTGATAGAAAAAATAACAATAGAATCCACATGCTAACAATTTTTTTTTAAAGCTCTAAATATAATTAAGTGAAAAACTTATACTTCACAAACTATATAATTCTTTGTTTTGTGAAACCACAAAGCCAAAAAAAATATTATGTACGATGTAAGCAAAGCTTATTTTATTTGAAAGAATCAATGAAGAATATTAAAGATTTACTTCATTTAGTAAGTTTTTTATTTAAAAATTGATATTTACTAAAACTAACAATGACATAAAAATGAAGTATTTAAATATTTTCCTTCCTTGTATAAACAATTTTACTGCTTAAAAAGCTTCGACATAATTAATAATTAAGCAAGTTAAACACTGCAGAGAACTCTTTCACGTAATTTACTTGTAAAGACATCAAAGTGTATATTTAAAATTCGAATTATACCTAAAAAACGTAAAGCTTAATACGCGAGCTCAAGCACTAAAAGGAAGACACATGAGGGCTGTTTCAAATTGTTTATCTAGCCATGCTTCAGATAGGACTGTTATGTAATATATTTTGAAATTACGAAAAGAGCTTATCTTCTTCAGTGGCAGTGCACTGGATTTTTAAAAATATTACTCATACCAGCTGTAGTGCAAGCGGCAAGGCAAAGCAATTAACAGCTGTTTTTTGTGAAAATCCAATTAGATAGAAAGCAACAAATGCCACACATTCCGCATAATGGGCATTTTGACAAAGACGAGAGCGACGTGCCCACGTAATTGTTCCTACACACACCATATACTCGTCCAAGTACATCTCTGCAGGTATATACATACAAGTATGTATGTAGTACAAGTATGTATATGGATGTCGTGCATTTACTGGTTCCCCACTTTCGCCATCCACATACTTATTTGAGCGTGGCCTAGGGTTCAAGTTGAGGGTCGTCATGTGTCAAACCCAAAAGGCCACATCCATCGTTGCATGCCGTGCCGCACATGCATACGCAAAAGGGTGCCACATATGGTTTTTTGCAGCTGTGGCCCATACATACATATAGAAGTACGAATGTGTTTGTCTATTTTTAGCACAGAATGTAGCTGCAAAATGATGCAAAAAATAAAACTGGAGAAATGGCAAAAGCAAATTGTGCATGCATTTTGTGCACGTACGAAGGAAGTTTGCGGGGGAGAGAGTGTGGGAGCCCGCAGTGGCTGCCTGCGGTTGACATGCAACTTGATGTGATATGTAATGTTATTACAAGTGCAATAGCGCGAAGCACATCACAAAATATACTTGTATGTATATATACACTCTGAAAAAACACACTCAATATTATCTTGTATATGTTTGTATTGTTTTTGCAAGCCAGATAGCTATTAACTTAAAAAAAAGTACATAACATTTTTGGGGAATCACTTTATACATGCAATTGGAAGCTACTTTTTCAAACAACAATTTATATGCCTAATTACTTAGATACCAATATTATTAAACGCAATTTTTCACACACAAGGCCGTTAAAGCGCAGGCTTATCAAGAAAAATTGGGGAAGCAATCTAGACCAACAGTACAGTGCCCCAAAACGACAACGCTACTCAATTTTCGATTAGAGTCTAACAGTTCCACTAAACCGGAACATAATTATTTATTGTACAAATAAATGAAAACAGTCGAGCTTCCATAATGGACACAAAAATGTTTTAGTTTATCATTTGTATAAAAAAATAATGATCGAGACTTGTAGGTCAGAGCTAGTGATAAAACAACAAACCATCAAAACAGCATTCTTCCTCAAACAACCAATATAAGTCACAGCTAACAGTTAATTATTATTATTATAATAATTCCACAAACTTGAGACTCAAAATAGGCATTATTTTAAAGAGACTTTCATTCATAACCACCTATTTTGTTAACTCGCGTATATACTTACAGAATTTAACTTATAATAAGTATTAAGTGAAGCAAATACTTGAATACTACTATCAGGAATTGTTAAATTCTAAATGCAGCAAACAAACTAAATTTCATTATGTAACGAAAGTTTGAAGTTCGAAATTTCAAATCGAGCACAAGTGAAGATTTAGCGCAACTAATAAAACAATTCTTACTTTATGTATTAAATAAGGCTGAACAATTAAAATGCTAATTAACAAAGAAAGCATTTAAGGGAGAACAAAAAATTGTTTTCTCAAACTTTCTGCGTTCGGGAACCTCAATATATTCCTTTGTTTTCTTCTTTTCCTTTTTTTATAATGCCCCGAATTACTTTTCTTTGTTTCCGTGCTATAAATACAAATTGTGAATACTTTATGTGCATGTAGTTAATAATAATTGTGAGTATATAAGCTCATTCATTATTTAAGAAAAATTATTAAAAACGAATTTTTTAACAACGATTAATTTATCTGGAAAGGTGTATACTTAAACAAAAATGTTTATCTCTTGTATCTTTACATACAAAGTTAATCAAATAGTAAAGCGAGATCAAACTGAAATAGAACTAGAGCTTAGAATCAACATCTTAGGCCTCACAATATTAATCCAATTTAATGATACTACATATTAAGTTATGGTTTGGGAATAATATCCCTTATTTAGAGAATTTGTGATAAAGTAAAGAACTCACATACATTCTTAAAACGAACCGATCAACATATGAAGAGGTTTAATTTTAAAATGAACATAAAAAGGCAATACTTGTATTACAAAATAAACTTCTACAATTCATAAAATACTTGTCACACATCGATATCTTCTTATTTTTATTCAAAGTGCATGCCACTGACTACATTTAAGGGCAACTAACCGCCACTCAGCCACCGGCAGCCACCCCAATGCCCTAAAAGCTCAGCTTACACTCGATTCTCGATATGAAATGTCAAAGCGTAGCTTTACAACCATTCCACATCGAATGCTTGAGCTCGTTCGGCACACTTGAGTGGCTGCCTGTGCACTATAGATTATGGCCAATAAGTATAGATACTTGCATGTTCAGTTACCATATGTACTATATGTAAGTACTTATAGGCAGATTCAAGTGCTGGGCCCGTGTGCGTCAAACACCAAGACGAACTATGCTCGAACTACTTAAGCATTGTCGCTAGATTTCGTTCTGAGCGCTGTTTACAGACGCAGTGCTGAGAGTACAATTTGTCGTTTATAAATAGCCAAGGGGTTGTGGATACAAAACGTATCTTTCATTAGTACTGCGATAAGTGCGAGGAAAATGGGGGTATTGTTGTTTTTTGTGTTTCATGTGTGAACGCGTCTGGGTAGGTGTGTGTGTGCTTTTGTGTCGGCATTCTTAAATGAGCGTCTGGGTTTCCACTAAGCACTCACTTGTTTACTCTATATACAAATTAATCTAAGCACCAAGCACTGATAAGCATTCGTTGACCGGGCCTCGTCCACACACATTACGGCAACAAATTTCAATTGTGACTTCCAATGGAGGGGTTAATGGTGTAAGTGGGGAACTATAGATATAGGGTTTGTTCAACTTTTAACAGAATATGTGCATCAACAAATAGTCTTTCGAATATAAAATAGAGTTGATTGAATTCTAAATCATTTAATTAAATATATTAATATACACATATATAGTATAAGGGTCTCTAATTAAATATAAAAGGTGAAAGTGCTCCAATCTTTCACACTTTATTAAAATGGCAAAACTTGCTAAGATAAGAACATTTCAAAATGTTGTATAAGTATATCTGAGATTTGACCAAAGTTCGTTCTGCTAATTATATTTGAAATGTCTAAATAGGAAGAAAGCCAACTGCAAATTGACTTAAAAAACTAATATTATTTGATTACTTAAACTTGTCATTACTTAATCGTATCATTAAGTACTAAGTACAACTAGCTTTTAATGAATTACATTTCTTCGCTCACGTAACTAATAGTTACACAATTTTCCCAAAGAAATAAAAAGAACCAGTATAAGTTAATTTTGTTTTCCAACATTCCCAATTACTTCGCAATTAGTACTATTTATGCTTCAATCATTCTAGTGAACTAACATTGTTTGTCAAACACTGAATATTTAAATAGAAATATGTTTGTTTATGGTTGATGTTGATTAAAATCTTCTTAGAAATAAATGGCAACAGTCGCACGAAGATAACGAGATGCACATTTATTAATTAAAACGGGATTGTATGTACTTTCCATTCAATTCAATATAAACAAAAGCATATATACATATGTATTAGTGTGTACAAACGCTCAACTATTTTATTACAAAGTTAGTCGAATGAAAAGACACAAATCATCAATCAATTTTTGGGGGAAACATTTTAATTGCCAAGTTATTTATTGTCTTTAAAATGTCACAAAGTTTTCCTTATCATCAATATGAAATAGGGAATAAAAATAAAGCGAATAATTGCGTATTAAAAGGAGAGATATATTTAGTTGACAATCTGATCAGTTCTTATTTATTCAAAAATATATTCTAGATTTAGTATGCTTTTGA